GGTTTATTGTATGCAACCGCGCATTATACGCGCGTTTTTCTGATTTCCATTGTTCTAGTTCGTACGCACTGATGTGCGATGGCATATAATCGAATAGAATGCCGTAAAACAGTTGATTTAGCTAACAAACAACCGTTGAGTACGATCAATAACTCTCGTATTAATCATCTCGAAACACATTATCGAGAAAATATCATTAATTATAGAAAAAAAAAAATAAGAAAAGAAAAAAGTAAATTACAAACCGACGAAACCGCGTGTAGCGTACCACTGTAGCCGTTGGATTGCCTATTAGTACGGGCCAAATACTGCACGCATGACATGACCGTATTTTTAGGTTTTATTTCACAACTCTCGACAAAATAAATATAAATATTTAAAAACAAACGGACATCCATCGCACGATTGGTGGGCAATTGTTTTAGGTGAAAACATGGGCAGGTACGGGGGAAATTTAATGTGTATTTGCACGCGACGATTAATCACGGCTAAACGAAAAACGACTCTGAGCGGAATTAGGTCCCGTAAGGTTTTAAAACAATACGTTTCGTAAATATTCCCGTATTTCCTACTTATAATGAAAGCCACTGGGAAAATCAAAAAATGACATTATTATCGTTATCATTATTATCATCATTGCGAATGAAAAAAATGCATTATTATTATAATTATTAAACGAATATCGCACTCAAATACCGAATCTAACAACACGATGTACGATTTTCAAATATGATTTTATTATAAAGAGACAATGATATTATACCAAGCAAACCGTACATCTTTGTTTCCCATAAGAAAATAATATTTCGCCGTCGGACTATTGGTGTTTTGTACTCTGTATTGTATTACTAGATTCAGTATTTCAGTGTGATTTTACGTGACGAATATTGTTTCGATATCCTATTTATTACGGCGTATCAATGCGTTTTCATCGGTGTTGCGAGTGTTTTGTACGTTCGCGTTCGCGTTTGTATGTTTTGATGCCCGGAAACAAGTAATAACCGCTGTGTCGTTGATTCGTTGAGAAACGTTAAAATGTTATTATTATTATTTTTTTGTATTATAATGAATTTCGTTCTTAATAAATTTATGTCAAACCCGTTGCGTAATAATATAATACGCATGTTTTCGTTCGCGCCCAGCACTCGTGGTTAATTTTATTTAATCCGCATTACTCGCAGGTGTGGTAATGTTACTCTTGAATCGATTATCGATGCGCCTATGTGGCACATAGGCGCAACTGGACCATCGACTTTGAGGGCGCTCAAATTATAGACGGACCAGACCCGTCGGGGCAATATTCCACAATACCCTTTACACGGGACATAGGATGAGCGACCACGCGTTTCGTTTGAAATCCGTTTTACAAAAACGTACTGTAAATCGCTTAACTCTCATTGTCGTACACGCGAACGTCGTTTGTGTTTCGCTAATATTAAACTCGCGGGTATTAAAGACGCTTTAGCGCCCCGCGGTCGCGCCTGCGATTGTACACTGTTCTCGAGTTTCTAAACGTAAGTAAAAAAAAAGACTCGTCTGTCCTCGCTACGTCCGTCCGTAGTTACCGGTACACAATCAGGACCGTGGATTTTCGGTCGACGCTCCGTCGTAGTTTACCGATCCGTAGTTTGGACATTATTATTTTTAACGATATTATCGCGTTTAATCTATCGCGAGAATTCGAATTGTTCACGTGCGTCGCGTTACCGATTCCGGTATTAGTGTCCCCGGGGCGTCGACGAATCGCGACAATATTTATTACCGTTACGGTTTTCCGGCACGACGCGGATTATATTATTATTGTGTTCCGCGTTCGCGCCGTACAATTATTACCGTATCGATTGTTACCGGCGCGTCCCCGTGTTGTCCGTACGCGTTTTAATTCCGTCCGCGTAAACCGGCGAAACCCGTTGGAAAATCGCGTTCGGGCCGAATTCCGATCCGAGTGCGTACGGATCGTGCGGGACGCGGTATACCGACGGGAAACGGCGTTTTCCCCGAGCGGTCCGGAACGGCGGTTTCCCGGCGCGCAACTCGGTCCGTACGAAAGAGCTGTTCGACCCGGTGCGACGGCGAAACTTAAATTTCGCGTTTCCCGTCGTTTTTCCATTTTCAATGCAGTTTTAAGCGTTTTTCCGGTACCGCGTTTCCAGGACGCGATTTCAATTTTCCGGGAAGTGTTCGACTGTTTTCTTTTTACACAGGTATAAAATACGTTATAACGGCAACAATATTAATTTTTATACGTTTAAATTTCGATTGTACTCGGAATCGAGTACGATCCAACCGCCGTGTATCGAAATTCGTTGTCCTCTCCGCTAACGTCATGTTATTAAAACACTCGACCGGTAAAATCGTGTCTTGTTCAAAGTTATAAAATAAATATTTACACGAGTGTACGCTATAACAAGGTAAACTGGGTATAGTGGAACTGTACATCGATAATATGACAACGTCAATACAGGAAAAAAACCTCGTCTCACGTGAGTATATATTCTGGCCATCCGTGCGTATTTTAAATTTTCAGCGCACGTTTTATAATGATGGAAATTGCATAAATTCGCACGTATTCGGACGTTTCGCGTGTATTTAATTCGCGGGAATGATGCATATTAGAGTATTATGCATATATATAAATAGACGGTATTATACGGGGAACGCAGCGTATGCAGCTAATCTTCCTCTGCGGATCGTTCTTCCCCTTACAATAATTATGTGTGTATTATTATAGGTGTACAGGCGTGCGCACGGGCACGAGATGAGTTATCGAAAATTCACAGTCTCAATTTTTTATTTATATATACGCTTTTGACGAAAAATCGTGAAAACTGTCTGCGTCCAGCAAATTATATTTCAATTTGTGTGAATCGAGTTTGTATAGATTTCGTAAAAAATGCTTAAAAACGTGTTAAAGCAAAAACATTTGCAATAAAAAATAACAGAATACCGAGAATCCGTAATGGCGATCTAGTATTATTTTTTTTTTTAAAAAATTCAAGCGTTTAAAGTTTAAAATTTTTTAAACAGAATATTATTATATCGCGTTTCTTATTACGAGTAATTTAACCGTTGCAGTCGTGTTGTTTTTTTTTTTTCGTCCATGTCGGGTACTGAGCGTGAATGATCGAGACAAATATTTCGCGTCGATTTCGGTGAACCGACCGGACAAATCCGGTCGTCGTACGCGGTGAAACGGTGCAAATCGTTGGACCGTCGACATTGTCGATGACAAGACATCGATAGATTTCGACCACCGCGGAACGAAGGATACGTCGGCGGGAGTCATATCAGAATGATTCCTCCCTCCCCCTCCTCTTTGATCACCATCTTGCCTAAAGAGAGGGATAATCAGCTCGTATTATACAAGATTTTAATTTGAAACTGTATTTAATCATTATTTCATCGGAATAAATTATTATTACTAATATATTATATATTTTGTAAAATTTGTTCGTTTAAATTTAAAAAAAACAATCGACCGTTTTTTCGCGGTAAAATTGTTTTCAAGTCGATCCCGAACAACACCGTATGAATTGGATACCTCTCGTTCGTGCGCCGGGATCATAATTTTTTTTTTTTTTTTCTGGAGCCATTATATTAATACAATATCGTATAGTATACCGCCGCCGTGGTCGTCACGGTAAAAGTTTAACCGCGTCCACGGTCAGCGTTATACGCACGGTACGGCGTATTCTGCTACGATCGGATATCGCGGGCGCGGTCGAGTCCCCGTACGGCAATAAAAAAATTATCCGGCGACCTCTCCGAAAGTTTTACTTGTTTTGTAATAATACGCGAGAACGCGAACGGAAAAATCGTTACACCGACCGATTCTCCGCGGGAACGCGCCGCGCGCCGGGTCCGAAATTCGGAAACGAATTTAAATATCGCAGGTGTTGATTGAGGCCGAGAACGACGAGAACGACCAGAACTGATAATCGCGGCTCGTTAGCCGCGTAAAATCCACGAAAAAGCCCGGGAAAAACATTCAACAAAGCAAAAATGACAGAAGGCTTCAATCCTCTAATCTAACTTAACGTTACGACCCTGAGTACAATCGTCTAACGCTACGCGAACGATCGTTAGGATTACAAAAACGAATTGCCCGCTTTCGTTGAAATCATTTGTGTGACGTTAGAAAAATGTTATTTAATAACGGTTATTGTAGAGTCGTTAGACGGAGGGGGAGATGTGACTTTTTCGAGGGTTTTTTTTTTCTCGACGTTTTCAAACCGCTTTTTCGTAAATTTAAGTGCGAAATTCCCGAGCAGAACGAAAATAACAAACGATATCGTTTTAAAACCACTACCGTCTCCGCTATCATTTACATACAACCGGTCTAAAGCGCACACGATTTTTTTTTTACGTAGATCGGCGTTTTTTTCTTCATAAATATTTACCGACCCCGTCCCATTCGACTTTGGCCGTCGCGAATATTTACTATCGTGCCAATNAAATTTTATTTAATAACGGTTATTATAGAGTCGTTAGACGGAGGGGGAGATGTGACTTTTTCGAGTGTTTTTTTTTTTTCTCGACGTTTTCAAACCGCTTTTTCGTAAATTTAAGTGCGAAATCCCCGAGCAGTAACGAAAATAACAAACGATATCGTTTTAAAACCACTGCCGTCTCCGCTATCATTTACATACAACCGGTCTAAAGCGCACACGGTTTTTTTTTTTACGTAGATCGACGTTTTTTTCTTTATAAATATTTACCGACCCCGTCCCATTCGACTTTGGCCGTCGCGAATATTTACTATCGTGCCAATCAACCGCGACCGCATCGCGGTAACATGCGACGACGAACCCGGTAAAGTATTCGTACATTTTTCGTTTCCTTGTTTAACGTTACGATTATTATAATAATAACAATAATAACAATTATAATTACAAAACCGTACGGTTAAATTACTCCCGAACCGTGCGCCCGGCTCAATACCCGGGAGTAATTCGACACTAAGTGCGTTCCACCAGTGGCGACCGTAAACAAACAACACGGTCGGCCGCAGAGTGCGTTGACGTTACCGCCGCGAACGTGTCTTCCGCGTTCGTTCCGACGAAAACAAAGTGCTCGCCGCGTATAAAACTGCTGACCCGTCGCCCGGTGAGCTTCAATTACGAGGCGAGACGTGTACTGCTGCATCGAATACGATTGGCGTTCCGACGATTCGCTGAGTGCGCACCGCGATATGTCGAACGATCGTCTAGCGCCCGTGTGCGCCTGCGCGCTGCTGGCCGTACTCGCGGCGGCGCTTTTGGCCGCGTGCGGCGAAGCGGCCGCGAGACCGGCGGCCGCGGCGGACGGCAGATGGCGGCCGTGCCGCGCGGCCAACCGGAGACGGTACGAAGAAGTGCCGAGCCCGACGGGAGACGCGGAGAGCGACGGCTTCGGGGGAGCAGACGGCCGTCAGGATTTCGACGACGAAGCGGACGACGACCAGGCGGACGAAGACGAAGACGAGTACTTCCCGTCGTTCCACGCGGACGAGAAACCCAAACGCGGTGTTCGGGTGGCCTCGTCGCCGCACAATGGCATTACCGCCGCCGCCGCCGCCGCCGCCAACAATAACGACAACGACGACGAAGACGGCCGCGACGACAACAAGAACAAGCCGTTACAAAAAAAGTTCAATCCGTTCTCCGCGGCGGCCGCGGGAAACGGTCTACGGATGGACGCCACGTCATTGTTCCGAAGCGGCGAGACCGTCGAACTGCCGACGTACGTGAACGTCCCGGTAACGTTGCGGTGCAAATTCGTACCGTTGGACGGGGCGGAGAACAAGTTCGAGACCATAGTCGAGTCCATGTACCCGGGACACGCGAACTCGGTGTCGTCACCGTCGCTCCAGCAGCAGCCGCCACCGCCATCTCCCGACTCGCACGCGTCCCGGTTGTTCGGTCAGCTGATCGGCTCGACGAATGGTTGGCGTGGCGTTGTCAACAAGGCCATCCGGCCCGTCCGCCGGGCTATCGACAACCGATTGGCCCGGCCGGTGAGACTGGCAAACTTCGAAGACTGGGAGCCGCCGTTACAGCTAAGTGGCCGGTACGACAAGAACTACGGTCGTCGGCGGTACGGCGGGGACGGTGGCAGTCGGTGGAACGACGGTGGAACCACTGGTGGCCGGCGGTATGGCGGAGACGTCATCGGCCGGCAGATCGCGGCTCGACAACGCGCTGCCGAACATATGCAACGGTACCGAGACGTTCGGCAGGATCATCGCTGGCTCGCCCGAGAACAGCCGGAAGCCGAACAGGAGCAGCCGGAAACCGAACAAGAGCAGTCGGAAACCGAACAGGAGCAGCCGGAAGCCGAGCAAGAACAACCGGTCGAAAGAATGCTCAACGAAAACCAACTGTTAGAACCACAGTCGATCGCCGAACAAGACCAACCGGCAGGCGGCCAGCAAATAAACGATGGCCAATCGGTAGAACAAATAAAAGACGACCAACCGTTAGAATATTTAGAAACTGGCCAAATTGTAGAACAAGTAAAGGATGGCCCATCATCAGAACAAGTAGAAGGCGACCGACCTTTTGGACAGTTGGAGAGTGGCCAGTCAATAGAACAAGAAGAAAGTGGGCAATTAGTAGAACGATTAGAAGGTGGCCCATCAGAAGAACAATTAGAAAGCGGCCAACCAATTGTACAGTTGGGAAGCGTCCAATCAACGGAACAAGTAGAAAGTGGCCAACGTATTGGACAGTTGGAAAGTGGCCAGTCTTTAGAACGAGTAGAAGGCGGACTATCGTTGGATAGTGAAAAGGAAAGTCAGTCGTTCGAACAGTCAGAAAGCGGCCCGGCTCCAGTCAAACGAATAATAAAATACGATCAACCCTTTGAACAATTAGCAAGTGACAGAATGCCCGAGCGAGTGGACGATCGATTGGCCGAGAGAGTGGACGACCGAGCGGAGGATCGAGTGAACGACCGAGCGGCGGATCGAGTGGACGACCGAGCGGCGGATAGAGTGGACGACCGAACTACCGAGCGAGTGGCCGAGCGAGTGGATGACAGCGGATCGCAAGGAGAGCAGACCGCCACCACCGTCAGATCGGATTACGAAACGTTTCACAGGGGCATACCAGTCAAGACCTTTGTGGAACACGTAATTACGACGCCATCGACCGCGTAACCCGACCCGCCACGACTGTTTTTTTTTTCTTTTTTTGTTGGACGGAAAAGCACTACGATAGGCAAAAGTAAATGTGCGCCTAAACTGTACGATTCCAAGAAAAAGCCAAAGGCCGGCGCGCAATATTCGGGCTCGTACAGTTCACCCGTCCTCCTCTCCTCCACCCACCTCATTCCTGTTTTCCTGTTTTTATGATTCGTATTTATTTATTTGTTTGTATCTTTTTTTTTTTTTTTTTACATATATATTTTTATTATAAAGGTCGTTTTATGTATTCGATCGAATACACACGTGTGTATAGAACGTGGGAATAAAAAAAATACGCATTGTTCGATTCCGAAAACAACGGTTTTGTGATGCATTAACTATCAAATAAACGGCGTTTTTTTTTTCTTTTTTCTTTTTTTTTTTTGATACGACGGCGCTCACCACGTGAACGCAAAATCCGATGTGTAACGGCCGAGGCCGCCGCGGACGAAAATGCGATCCTGTACATCGTCGATTCGCGGTGAAACGGCGCAACACAATTATTTCAATGCGACACCGATAAACAATAATAATAATAATAATAATGACGATAATGAATTCGGTCGGTCCCGCCCGTAACGGGTCGCGGCGATGAAATAACGAGCGCATTTCGTTTTATTAATTCGCTTTCGATTTGCGCGGGTAGCGCACGGTATTTTTTTACGGACCGTAATGCCCGCGGCGTCCCGACTCCGCGCCGCCGTACAGGGTTACCGGGTCTCCGATAAGACGTCATTATCAGAATGACGATTATCAACACCGTTTTCGGGTTTTATTGTTATTATTATTAATTTTATTTTATTTTATTTTATTTTTTTTTTTTGCGCAATTCAAAAACCGAACGGCTCTGCTACGTTTTCGTTATTTTCCGGGGACGGGGAGGGGTGCGACTATTGGTATTCAAATAGCGTTAGCCCAAACGTGTTTCGGCGTCGGCGTTTGTTGATTACCGTCAACCCGTCGGCGGACAGACGAGCGTCGTTTGTGCGGTGGCGTAGCGGGGCCCGGCGACGAGCGAATTGTGCGTTACACTACTGAAAAAGTGAAACATCCCGTCCGCGGGAAAATTAAAAATGTCAACATTAAAATGTGCTTAAACTAATACTCCAGCTATTCGTGTCATCTGTAATATCGTTCGCTGTTTGTAAATCGAAAATAAATAGTCGTTCGGGCCCCGAAAATAAGGCTGACAAATTTGGCGACATTTTAGAACAGTTTGTTTCACGTGTTATTCAACAAATAAACAAATTCGTACGGCGTGAAATCCAATTCCGTTTTTGATCCGCTTTGAACACTTCGTTACCTATACAGACTGACGGTGTTAACACTTTGGAACTCGAAACGACTTCGTATACAATAACATTATCGTAATAACAAGTCGGCACTATATTACTTAAATGTTTTGCGAACTGTGTCGACTTTCGAATAATATTTTTTTTTATTCCCGACGGTGTTGAAAACTGCAAAACATACGGCAACAACTATAATTTTAACGTAATATGAAACACACACACACACACACAAAATCATTGTGCGTTCGTGAGTATACACGGTCGTAAGTACATATACACATATGAATAGCATAGAGTCAAATGTCATATTTTTCAGAAAATGGGAAAAATTGAGAAAGGGTTTTTCAATATAATAAAAAAATTTAAAATTCACTGTGTGTGTGTGTGTAATGTAGACTAAGAAATTCAAAACTGCAATAAAAAGTTGAGATTTTATTCGTTATCTCTATTTGTTTTGTGATTAACGCGAGTTTCGCATTTAAGGCGCGAAACGTCTGGATTTCGATAATAGTTGTCATGGACTATGTGAGTTTTCATGCTGTGGATCGTGTGGTTTTCGACACGGGTTCAATAGGATTCATTATCAAAACTCGTGTGAACCAACGGAACTTTTTTAGTATTCGCTCACATTTTGCTAAATTTCCGGTTAAATTTTTACCTGTTCTCGTGCGATTCGAAACGAATTGATTACAGAGCCGGGTTCGCCTGACGAAATTCTATAAAAATAATGTCCTCGACTCATTTCCCCGTCCATTGGAACACACCAGTTTTGATTATAGCCTACCCGTTACGGATTTGGTCCCTTAAACCGAGCTCCTTCTTTACGGGAATCACGCAATCATTTCGCGAGTACAGCGTTCGGATTTTTGACCCGGGGTTCGGGAAATTGGGTATAATATACGAGTAGAAAAGTATGTTATAATAGGGTACTCTCGAACGATATATTTTTTTTTTCTGTTATCCGAAAAATCTGCGGGGAGAGCCGAGAAATAAAAATGATCGTCCGTCGACTTTATTATAACTGTTTATAAACGAGCACGGGGACGAGGCGATTTTTCAGCGCAATACAATTTTCTTGTAAAACATAGTGAAAACTAACGGGACGATAGAAATAAATTATATTCTAAACTCGAATTCCCTCGCCGGAGCTCATCATAATATGTCTCAACCTTATTATTTTTTTTTTCCAAATATTTCACTTATTGTGCGTACGTATGCAAATGTTGTAAAATCGGTTAATGTTGTTATATTTATACTTTTTCGTGTATGAAAACCGATTGTACTCTGTTAGTTTCGACGTCAGGGCGTATTTGTCCGTTATTAAACCTAAAGATAAGAACATTGTCTTTATTTATGAGTTAACCGATATTTTAATTTTCAAGCGAAATAGAATGATTTTAAAATTGCAATATTTTACGTGTTATTCGTGACTCACTTGATAGTTAAAATATCGAAAAAAAAAACCCATCGTTTTAACACAAAAAAATATTCTCACCTTTAAGTTTGATAACTGGCCAATACACTGTAATATTAAAATTAACGGCACAACATAAATCAATATATGATAACAAAACGAACTGACCGATTTCACAACATTTACCGTAACATATGAATACAGATTAGAAAAATTTAAAATATATTTAAAAAAAAAAATAATCTAAATTTCGAGTAGGTTTACAATATTTTCGTTTTTTTTTTTTCCATCATAAATGATTTATTTTTGTAGCTCGGAATTTAAAAAAGGTACCCAATTATTATCTCTAGGCGTAATATTGTATAAATATCATACCCGATAATTATAATTGAATCGTTCGCGTTTTTTACGCGTAAACGAAAACAATCATCGACCGATTCTCGGTAATTTGTTTAAGCTCATCCCCCGCGGCGTAACAATATGATTTCGGCCGGAAAATTCGCTTTCGTCTAAAATAAATAATATTATCCATCAACAACGGAACAGTTGCCTACGCACGCCGTCATAATTAAAATATTCCATTTTGATACCGCGTTAAAATGAATCAAAATTATAGCGACTAAAAAAAAATACGTTTAAATTAACAAAACGTTTTTTCGTTTTTATAGAATAAACGTTTTTTATTTTTTTTTTTTGTAAAATAGCTAGGTATTTATTATTATTATTTATTTTTTTATTCGGTACCGTCGTCACTATATTATAGTATGTAAACTTCACTACGCATATATTATTACTTTACTGTTGTATAATAAATATTGTAGCGCTTCGTACGATCGAAACGCGACAATAAATATCGGGGATCGACATTTTTATAATCTCGTTGGATGTATCGAAACAGGAAAACAAATAATGTCGAATTATAGTCTGAAGTTTGTTAGTCAATTAAAAAATTATTCAAATATTTTCGGCGAACTGAAAAAATGTTTTATAAGGTTTATTCGGTTTTGTAAAAAAACGATGCGTGGGAAGAACCGGAAGTGAACTTGAACTTTATATAATTATCATTAAATCGTGAAAAAATGTAACCCTGTATTGTTTATAATTCGACCGAAAACCATAATTTTTTTTCGAGTCGCTTATTCTCGGCTGTTCGATATTATTGACGCGTAGTATGCACGAACGGGTTTCTGTCATCCGGTTTTCCTCGTCTTTCGATTTCGTAGAGAATCGTTTTATTATTTCCCAAACGGCGAACCGCACCACGGGCGGATCCGATACTGTGTATGCTGCAGCCCATATACCCAAACAATAGAATCGTCACGGAAGTCGGTCGAGATCAGATGCATTATAAAAGTTTATGCGATCATGTCACCCGATAAAAACTCAAATATTTATTTTTCTTTTCTTTGTCACATTTAACAACGGCATTTCTATAAATACATCGCTGTTCTAAATAGCACGACATGTAAATAAGTCAATCGGTAAATCATTCATTTGGCTACGGCTTTTGTCGGTAGATCGCGCACATTGGCCCGGTCGCTAATTTGCAAACTACGATTACAATTATTATTAAAATCGGATTTTTTTGCAACTAACGACTGCTGAAAAACGTGCAATTAAAATGTTGAAATGCGCAAAATCGCGCAAAAATAAATTTTTATTAGTAATTCATAATAATATGGGACATTTTTCAACACAGGTACTTCAAATTTCATTTTTATTTCTATTTATTTTTTATAAAACTATTATTAATATTAGCACATACGCATTTAGAATATTTGATTAAAATTTAACTATTAAGTATTAAATACAAATATAAAATTTAAACGTCTCTACGGTATTTGATTACAATTTATGTATCTACATGTCTAACTGTCTCTTCGTTTTTTTCAATAAAATTATGGCTTCTGTTTTAATAGTGAAAACACACGTTCTCCATCGGCAATTGTTATCGGACATTGTTTGTATTATATTTTATCGATATGTATATGGATTCGTAGTTTTAATTTTTATTTAAATCAATATCGAAAGATTACTAGGCCTCGCTTAGAAACACTCGTGTGGAGTGTGGTTCTAAAGGATTTAGAACACGGCATAAAAAGATGCAATTGCACAGGAATCCGGTCTTTAGTTATTATACAGATTACAAGTACGGGGATTGTTCTCGAAAATTCAATTGCATCGAAAACTACATGTAGAAACTAATATATCACAACATATTGTTCGTATAACTGACAACGATGAAGCCGAGACGTTATCGCAAAAAGTGTTTTTTAAAATCGTAAAACACATTTATATATGTATAGTGACTATACAATATGTATACGTATTATAAAATACATTAGGGTGGGCCTTGATCGTACGGGCCAAGAAAAAAAGATTAATTTTGATTTTCTATCTTTTCGTTTTTTGTTTTTTTTTTTTTTACTCGATATAAGAGCGTAAATTCGGTCACGATAACTAGCCCCGTTCACATGTCACGGTATCGATAAAGGGCCGAAAAATTACCAAAGTGGTGGTTTTATGGATTTTTCTCCCATTTATTTCAAAATGTATAGCCGTTTATGCGCTAAAGCGCACGGAATCGTATAACTGTTAAGCACACGCGCGTATCTATTAAAACGTTGTTGGTGATTCGCTATGACGTTCAGAGAAAATTACAAATAATTACAGTTAGTTGTTCGATTTATTTTGCAAAGTTGAATTTTTTTTTTGTTTCTATGTTTTTTTTTTTTAAAATGTTATATTTACCGAAAGGTTAATGGTATGATAAAGTATAGTATACAGAAATTTACGTTTGAAATTAAATGTTATATTTATTTATGTATAACACACATAGGTACCAAACATAATGTGACCCGAAAAGAGAAAATTGCAAAAATATGTAAAAATATTCATTCAAATTTGTGTATACTTTCGGTCGCTATTTATGCGTTTCGAAATATCGTATCATTACACTTCGCGCTTGCTAAGCATATAATTACGCATAATATCACACTGAGCATATTATAACAATTATTGTTGCACGATCGACCGGCGAAAACCGTCATACAAGTACAATA